CTGGGATCCCCCCATACCCCCCGTTTTCAAAAAAATTTTCACGTGCTGTAAAAAAAAAAGCCAGGAAAAAGTTCAAAAAATTTTAAAAAAAAAAAAAAAAAAAAAAAAAAAAAAAAAAAACATTCCAAGATAATGACCTGGACTGATGCACAGCATTTTCTCAAATTTGATCCATCATATAAAATTGTTGAAGCCTAAAAGCTCATGTAAAATATTTTTCACATTTATACATATCACAAAGCAATGGTTTACCTGCTCCTTCTTCCTCTTCCTCCTCTTCTTCCTCATCAAACTGATAAAATCCAAGGGGTGAAATGTGTGTGCCAGCACTGATGCGAGAAATCTGGGCTCTCAAGTAATTAGCTTCATTTCCTGGGAATGGAGGATAGCTCACCACCTGCAACACAATTATATTGTAAATAGATATTTCTAAAACTTACAGAATACAAAAGACCACTCTGCAAAAATAATAAAATCAAATTGTAGACTGTTTGGTATCTAAACGTTCATACGCAATAGTAAAACAACAATGTAAAGTATTTTTTGGCTTAAGTATTTTCATTAACACTATCTCCTTTCAACAGATTTTCAGCAACAAAAAAAAAAAAAAATCAAATTTGTAACTTCAATCATCCTCTTTTAACTAAAGCATTCAACTTACAGGTGCATCCAGGCGTCCAGTGAGGAATTTCTTTATTTTTCTGGCACATGAAACCTGTGCTGGTGTAATTGGTGGAAGTTTGCTCCATGACTTCCCAGCTGAATCCAAAATAATCAGATAATTAGCATCAACTAGAAAAATCATTACAGAACTTAATTGCTATAGTGCTATTAAATGTGAAAAAGTAACATAGAAGCATAAATATTTGTGTGGTAAATCAGTAAGTACTTACGTTCATTGCAAACAAAGTATGTCTTCTTGTTTGTTCCAGATCTATTGGCTTCCTTTGGGACAACTGGGGGTGGTTTCCAATCTGGCTTTGGAATATCATCTTCTGCTCCTTCACCTACAATGTGTGAAATAGACATTTTGGGTTTTAATTGATGGCAAAATTGATAATTTTATCAGTCTTTAAAATATCTTCAAACATCTTTCAAAGCAGAGGTGACCTTGTGTAACATAGAGAAAAGCAATATCAAAGTAAGTCAGGTGGCCCGGGCCCATTTCCAAATCTTGTCTCAAGAATATACATGACAATTTGTCAGTTTTCCTAACAGAGAGCATTTGTCTAAAAAAAGAGAACTAAAACAGAAAAGAAAGAAAAACAATGTACACAATCAAACTGCAGCTAAAAAACTGTATTTGTCTTCATTAAAACAAAATCATTTCTTCATTTCCAATGTAAACAACAGAAATAATTTGCTCATCTTCACAACATGCTGCAAAATAAAATAACATGCAAAGCATGCATCCAAAGTTTACACACTGAAATAAAAATGTTTTTGATGAAGGAAGGGCAAATTATTCGTGCCACTCAAACAGCAGGCTGGATACCAAGCTGACCTGCAACCGTAGGCTCTCCATGGTTTTCTGGCGGGTTGATGACAACAGGGGGAAACATGTTTTTTCCCTTTTGCTTTTCTACATTATATAAGATTTAAAAGTTAAAACATATATATATGACCAAAAAAACATTTGATTACTTTTTTACAATATCTTATGTTAGATGAAATAAACTGGTTGTCATAGATTTATTTTGTAGGTGTGTATGTGTGCGTTGTGTGTATGTAAAAATGTAAAGTGAATTACCTTCTTCCTCTCCTTCGCCTTCTTCCTTCTCATTTGCATCTTCTTCTTGTGCTTCTTCTTCCTCCTGCTCTTCCTCCTCTTCCTCTCCACCTTCTCTGTATTCAACTTCAGCGACAATATAATTTTGTTCTGTTCCATATATTTTCCCCCAGAATCTTGCATGTTGCAAAGGATGGTGATCTACTAAGTCTTTTAATGCAAGCCATATTCTATATGTTTCTTCCCTGCCTAATCCTATTCCACCTTGTTCAAAGTAAAATGCAAGTTCCATCAAATTAGGAAGAGGTGTGTCATTTTCCTCTTCTTGTTGGCCTTCTTCATCTTCACCACCCTGTTTCTGCAAGATGGGGAAAAAAATCAAAAACTAAGTCAAAAAGCATCATCAAAAAAGCACAAATTAATCAGATAACTTTTAAAGATCTTTAAGCAACAAAATAACAAATAAATATAAAATTTAAAATCATTTCACTATGAAAGTTTAATCAAAATAATTGATGTCTTACCTTAAAGAGCTTTTCTTGCACTTTAGCTAAAGTTACTTCAGTGGATTGGTCTATTTTATCTTGCACTGTGTCCACATCTGATGTAAATTTTGACCTCTTGGTTTCTTTGCTGATGTCTTCAAAGATGTCTACAACATTATCTGGTCTTTGATCTAAAACTTTTGTGAGTACACTGCTGATATGGTCATATCTAAAAACAATCAAAATATACAGATTTAGTATGAGATATAATATCCAAATTATGCAATTACATTGTAGATTTTTCATGAAGAGACAAACCACTTAAATGCTGGATTTTATGTAAAAGATTATTCCAATTTTTTAAAATAAAAGAAATTTAGTACCTTCATACGTATAGACATTTATTCTCGGTTGTGCATTACTAATTGTGATCAGTATTTTCTAATTCCTATCAAGCAATGGCTGTCAACAAATGTACCCCAGTAACTAGAATACATTTTTGCGTACATTAATAAGTCTGATCCCACTTATCACGAAACTAAATTCAATATACCAAGCAAAAACCTTGCTTTATACTTACAAGTTATACCCTGTGCTTGTACTACATGTCAGAAGATAGGATTTAGCGTTGATAAATTCTTGCTCTTTTGGATTCAAGTTTAGCTCAGGGTTTGCTGGGACGGACTCCGTCATTTTGAATGAATCCTCCGATTTATCACAGATATTATTTAAATTTCTCTTATCTGGTAGATTTCCTCGAACCTCTCTGTCACCAATGTGCGGTAAAGATCGTTAAAAACAAATCAAACACGTCGAATAATGGAAAAATACGAACAACTTTTAAATTCACATCTCACTCGTAACTCAGATGCTAGTTGCTATGATAAACATGGGTATCGACGGCCTTACGTCACTGAACAATGTGTGCGCAGAAAATGATGACGTAGCACTCAAGCACACTCGGTACGTCTTTCTGTGGGTTTGTTTATATTTCTTTTCATGAATCATTGTCTGATTAGCTGTGCTTTGTAAGGCTGCATTGCACTTTCTGATAAGGGCGTATATTCTTAAGTAAAGTGAGGTTTGAATTCGTTTAAAACCATGGTTTTGACAGGATAACAGTTAAATTTGAGATTTGCTTGTGACACTGCACAACTGCACTTACAGTTCCCTAAAGTAGAGAGCCTGTGACTCCTGCTACCCCACAGGTTAATGTTTGTCTCCTCTTCTACATTATTAGTTGAAATGCTTTCCAAGAAATCTGCCAAAAATGTAAACGAGGGCGTGGTTGGAAAATATGTGAAGAGAGACACACCTCCAATATTGAGAAGTAAGTTATTTGATAAGTTTAGATTGTTAGAACTTTTTAACATTGTACTTGAAATTGCTGATATTGTATATATGATTTTACTCACATGATAGTTATCCAATATTGTATTTCTAAAAGTAAGCATCACAAGGAAATCTTTGGACTGTGTATGATAAAATAACCATACATTTACAGGTACCATTACGTGTAGTTAAATACATTTTATAGGCATTAATACATGTAATACTGTAGTAACACTGACACTGCACAAATTTTTAAACTATGCAAAGATATTTAAGTAAAACAGAACTTTTATTGTGGCAAATGACTACTGTGCTATGTAAAAAAAAGAACGTTTCTCAATGGAAAGCGTCTTTATTTGCACAGATCTTTACCATTACATACAACATTTTTTCACAAGTGCAATTTAGCTTTGTTTGGCACCAACTGTCAGTTCTTTGATAATTACTGTAAAAGTCAATAAATTTTGGGATAACTTTATCAAGGGCCATTTAGATAACTACATGTACATTTTGAACAACAAAATATACACATGTTAAAGTACTAGGATCAAGGATGTAAGGAAATGCTTTCATTTTCACCTGCAAATAAGAATAATTGATGTTGAATTTATTTCTCATCTGTTTGAAATGTAATAATTAATCAGTTATTTGCCATTGATTTTGTGCAGACTATCACACACCAGTGAGGCAAGGGACCAGTTTCCAGAAAAGAAGCAAGCAATCACAATCTTCATATATCCCACAACCACACATAGTGACTGCTCCCCCTCCAGTTAGGCCACCTCCAACTTCCAGCCATGTTTATTCTCCACATGCTGTTGCAGCATATCACCAAGCACGGCACCATTATGTGCCTTCAGCGCTCCCAAGGACTACATCTACAGGAGAACAGGGCATAAGCCATTCATTCCAGAACTTGCAGATTTCAAGTGTTCAGACACAAGGGCAGAATGTACTGGCTTCAAGTCAGCCTAACATAGCTAATATTGCAAGGACTCCTAGTTTTGGTGCTAAGGATGGACAGCCCTCTTTGAATAGGGCACACAGTTTTGGATCCCACGATGTGACAGGTGCTCCCTCCAGATCTCAAGGGTATAATAGTGCTGTGGAGCAGCAATTAGGATCGCATGCCCCTGGAATTGTGCAACATAAAGATGATATAGGTAATTACAAACTTAAGGGCTTTGGCTATTATATGTATGCATTGTACAGGTCAATTTGAACTTCAGTACATGAAAATGAAAATTGAAGAAACAATAATAATAATTTTAAAAAACTAAAAAGGTAGTAGTAGTAGTAGCAGTTGCAGTAGCAAATGCTGGAGAAATTTTCCAATTGCCAATTTAGGCAGCAACAACAAGAGTGCATTAATAATTTTTATGCTATTACAGACCATTCAGATATAAAACAGCATTACCAGCATCCCTCTGCACCAGAACTAATCAGCTTACAAAGTAATGATCAGTATCAGCAAATGTTTGATGAGAACTATCAGATCCAACAATATCACAGGCAAATTAGGAACCAGTACATGCAACAGAGTGAGCAAAAGCATATGGGACCAGTGCAAACAAATTTGACCAACTTTAGACAAGACAGCCGGCCAAGTGTCAGCAGTGCAAATGCTGCTGCTGCCTCAGGGGCTGCTTCAAGTTAGTATTTTGGTCATATTCAGAACCATTTGTCCAAATTTTATTAGAGAAAAAAAAAGAATGCCTAGTTCAATTAACCCCATAATAATCCTTGAGTAAAAGGATGAAAACTGAGATGCTTGGTCACTGATGTTTTTCAAGAAAGTGTTTTATTTATTCATGGTTCACTGTTGAAGTATATTTCATAAGTTCATGATGAAATGGATAAAGTAAGAAATTCCTTATGGTTGAACTCAAAGTATAAGTATGGTTACGTATAGTTGTGCAGTTTGTTCAGATATGTTTCTTGACCACTGTCACTAATTCAGTTCCAGGGATGGTACTTGATATGTATACTACCTTGTCTCACCATTGATTCTACATTTGAAGAAGGGGTTAAAATATCAATAGTTAAGTACACATGCTCTAAAATACTGTTATTCTTCATATGTAAGGTAATCACAGTGTGCTCCAGGCAGGTAGTGAGCCTGCTTTACCCCAGGGTTGGTCTGTAGACTGGACCATGAGAGGGAGAAAGTACTATATAGACCACAACACACAGACCACCCACTGGAGTCATCCCTTGGAAAAAGAAAGCTTGCCAACTGACTGGGAGAGGATAGAATCACAGGAACATGGGGTGTACTATGTGAAGTGAGTTACTGGCATGATGCTTGGTGTCAGTTAGCTGGTTTTTCTTCCTGTGTTTATTCATTATTGCCATTTTCTTTTCCACATCTGAATTTGCTAGGTCTTTATGTGTTAACCCTATTGATCATACCTTTAATCATTTGAATGGTTGGTTAATGAGACAGTAATGTGACATTTCTTATTGTTTTATACACATACAGCTTATTTTGTCAATCTTCAAAGCACCTAAAAAGAATACAGACGAAGGTTTTTAATCTAGTGACATTCCTATTGAGATAGAGCTCTAAAGATAAACTTAGCATTTATTTAGTGTAATTTTTTCCAGTCATACAACAAAGACGGCGCAGTACTGGCATCCTGGTGCTCCCCCCTTGCCCCAATACAGCAGAGCTCCCCCCTATGTAAACCCCAACGCTCAATTGTCTCAGCAAGGAGCAGAACCCAGGCCACAGAGCAATGTTCTTGTGCCAGCCAATCCATACAACACCATGGGTAAGTTGGATAAAAAGTCAAAGGAAATATAGTATTCAATAGCACATATATATGTACACATACATATGTACATGTATACATACGTATATATCTTAGAACCAACTCTGTTCTGAATCAAGGAATCAATGTAAATATGACTTTGAATAGTTTTGTTGACAAGTGAAAATTGTGTCGTGTGCAAATAGATTATAATTGATCAGTATCATTCGTTTGAAACGTATATGTTAATTTGATAGCTCACCTTAAAATAATTTGTGCTTTCTTTAATTGTTCAGAAATACCAGAGTGGTTGTATGTATATTCAAAAGCACCATCAGAGCATGACCATAAGCTAAAGGTATGTTTTCTTTATTTTGAATGTGTATGTAGCAGGCAGAATTAGAATTGCAATTTCAATCTAAAACTTCAATCTTTTCATGGACATTTAAATAATCACTTACATCGGTTTATATTATATAATCATTTCAACTCTGGTTTCAGTGGGAATTGTTTCGCCTGCCAGAGCTAGAAGCATATGATGCCATTCTCAATAGACTTTTCAAACAGGAGTTGGAAGAAATTGTCATGGGATATGAAGAATACAGGGGAGCATTATTAAAAGAAAGAAACAAAAAGACAATGGCAGAACATCTTCAGCAACAGCATCAGTTACAGTCACAGCAAAACCAACACTTGCAGCAACAACAATATACACAACAGCAACACCACACACAACAACAACAACAGGCCATACAGCTACAACAACAACATCAGCCGCAACAACAACAACAGCAAGTGCAACAGGGCCTTCAACAAATACACCAACAGCAGCAACAGAAACCCAAAGATCCCACATCACAAACACATGCAGGAGTTGTGGGACAAAATATAGAAACTAAGGTGTGAGGATGTAATGAGCTATTGGATTATATTTACAGATGAAAAAAATACAGACAAAAACTTCCGATGGTTAATCAGTTGATCTAGACATGCTGTCAATATTTCATGTTGAATTATGGGATGAAGATTTCTTAGTTTTTAAAAAAGTATAGTTATACATCAATGTGAGTAATACAGGAGTGCTTGGTAATTGATGTATGCAGTAAGCAGGCATGAAACACTATAAATACTGTGATTTTTCATGTTCCCATATTCTTACTTTGAAATATCAGATTATACTAAAAAATTCAACCATCAATTTAGCATTCAACCTTTGAGAAATTTTTTTGTTGTGGAGAAGAACTTTTTATCAGCAGTTTTTAAATGTAGGATTCCCTCCATTCATAAGTTGTGTTGATATAAGTATTTAATCTAGAGGCTTTTTATAGGTAAATTATAAATTGTAGACTGTTTACAGTCACAAGCATTCCAAAGCATGGGATATAACAGATTTGGTTGTAGAATGATGAGGTTGTGGATCATTTTGGAAACATATCGCTGAACAAATTGTGTTGCATAATATCTTGATGTATTGGGGCTTTAGAGAAAGTTCCTTTCCTTGAAGTTTATGAGTAGTGAAAGATAAAATTTGTATTGAAATGACTAAATTCTTTGCTCTACACCTGTAAGTTGAAAATCAATTTCAGTTTTGCACAAGAGTGACAAAATTATTTGGTGAAATGCATCTAAATGGAGAAATGGGAGTTGCCGTCATAAAACGGGCATAGGAATGAGGCCAAATTTGTGTTGCTTGATGTGATACTTAGGTCAAAGTAATTTAAGCAATTGTTGCACAGTGCTTCATTAGTAGGGAAGAGGGAGAACAGGTCTTTGTTTTTATAAGATCATATTAAGTAATTTTGCACTTTTTTTGAATTTTTTAAAATTTAATAGAACTGTTGAATTTATTACATAAAATTAGATATCCAGTAAAGATTGTGAATGAATCTCTGGGAATCAAGTTGTGAAGATTTAGAAATGAGAGACAAACTCTTATGTTTGGAAAGCTTCTTAAATATAGGTAGCCGTTTCACGTGCATTATTTCAAAAACACTGGTTTGATCTTGTACTTGCATTTTAATTTTTACTGCATGCCTTTAGGCATTGTGTTTATGTATATACCAAGATCATAAATAAGGGGCTTTGAAAAATAAAGAAATCAAAGAGTAAATTTGATTTGATTTTATTATCAAAATTATCTTTTTATAACTAGATGCATATTTAGAATATATGCATAAAAAACAGGACCATGCAAACCTGCAAAATATCAAATCTAAATGAGTGATCAGTATAGCACCTACAGTATAAAAGGCTTAGCAGGACTTCCACATCTCACGTTTTCTGCATACCGTACATTTACTAAACATGGGATGCAGAAACCATCCTGTATGCCAAGAAATACAAAATTGCTTTTGGTGTTCATAACATGCTGAAGTATAATAATATTTTTCTGCGTAGTAAAGTGAAAAAAAGAGAAGAATTGCAAAACTTTGCGTATTTTTTAAGATGTATATCAAAATTTGCGTAGAGACATGATTTAAAGCACTACCGTCTGTAATTACCTGCTTTTGGCATGAGCCCAGTTCATATCACCCCTCACTTCTACAATACAGATAAACTGAACAAACAGATATTGATTAATCATTATCATAAAAATAATATTCAAGCTACTATCAATGTTTTTGCAATGGATTATGTTTACACACATGCTAATATTGTGACTTTTCCCATATACTTTTGATACAGAGAACAATTTCAACTAAGTGCTTGTAATGACATATTTCAACTTACGGTAGATTTGTGAACTCAAGAGAAATACTTAAAGCTCTGCTCACTGGTATGCTGATATTTTAACATAAAGACTTTTTCCATAACCTTGCTCATTACCAGATCCTGAATTCTTAACCTGTGTCTGCTTTGATCAATAATCAAAGATCAATGACAACAATTTGTGTGTCTAGACAGTCTAATCAGGTGTGTAGACAGAGACTATTTTTAAAATGTGTCATCTTGCTTAATCTCAGATGGCTCAGAGGGGAAAAATGGCAGATGAACTTCACTGGTCTCCATCCCCTTCCAAATATACAATGCCTGTCGATGCAATACTGCATTTTTTCACAGTACGAGAGTCACAGGGGAATGTATCGAAAGATCCTTTCAAGACCTAGAGGTGAGCATTATGCGGCAAACATGACTTTAGGGGCATTTTTCTTTCTGCTCCAACTATGTCCACTACGGCCACTCTTTGTCCTCTGATCACCTTCTGACCCATCGGCACTGGCCATCTGGGCAACGTCTATCCTTTCCAACATATACTCCTGTGAATAAAAGAACAATTTCCAAAACTGACCATAGAGATAGTGATATCCTCATTGAGTCTACTACATAATTTTGTGTTATGAAATATTTAGGGAATTTAATAATTTGACATGAAGTATAAATTCATTCTCAATCATTTTGAACAAAATTGTCTGCCCCATATTTGAAATATTTATATCCGTAAGTAAATGAAAATCATTTGTTTCTAGAAGTATGGTCCTTAAAAATAAAAAAAGCATTCTCCCATAATAACAATCCCTTTTGTGATGTACAATATTCCTTACCTGGATTCTGTCTAGTTTTTCATCCAACATAATCCTTTCCACTGGAATGTCGGTTTCTTTGGTGCACTTGTTAGCTATGTTATTTATGGCCATCAGTATTTGTCCCAACTCAGATCGCTGAAAAATGTATCACTCAATTTAATTTGTTATGCAGCCCTTTTATAAGTTCAGTGCCCCAAAAGATTCCACAACACTGCATATCAATTAGCATTTGAATTTCTTTATGAACTCTATAATTCTGTAAAGGGAAACTAACATATTTCTTCTAAAGCATTTATGCACCACTTTTCATTCACAGCAAAGAATTACCAAAAGTGATTTACTGTGAAGAATACATAAAGAAGATGCATATTTTTCTCATGCTTACCTGTTCCCTAAAGTCTCCTTTTCCCAAGATATAAGATTCCTCCAACTGTTTGTTGCCATCCACTCGACCTTCTTGATGCTTTTGCATTTTAGACAATTCACTGTTTATAGAGAGCTTCATTTTATCATGCTCTTGCTTCAGTTGATCAAGGTGGTTTCTTAATTTTTCCAGCTGAAACAACAGAGGTCATTACTTTCAATAAATACTGTTCATTATTAATAATAGTTGCTGATGAAATATAATCTTCACATACCAAGTTTCTCCACCTCCTTCTACATCCAGAAATGTAAAAATAGTTCACAATTATCTATCCTGACAGCTAATTAATAAACTCACCTCATCTGCTTTTTCTGAGACACCCTCAACAAGATCTTTATTGGTTTCATTCAAGGTTCTGTGTCTCATCATGAGACTGTTCACCATATTGTCTTGCATTTCAATATAATCTAAGAAACAGAAATTAGCCATAAGCATCTTGAAAAATAATGGTGAAATATGTTTACAAGGAATATATATCTGATAATTATTTTTAATAATTTTTTAAGTGGCATTTATCTTTAATCAGTACAAAGTCAATTCAGTGAAATGTACTAGAAAAAGAAGTAGAATGTTTACAATAGCATACACTCCCAAGTATTCAGTGGCTGTGTGTTTGACTTTTTCATTGTGATCATCTTCTTTCCTTCTTTACTTACTTTCAGGCATGGCATCCACAACTCTCAATAAATACTGTTCAAATTTCTTTGTTTGGCTTATTTTCTTCTCTAAATATTTGTGCCTGAAACATACAAATGCATGGCTTTCATTCACTCAATCAGTCATTTCTTCAAAAATGTATGCATTTCTTTTGAGGAAGATGCCATTCTCTGATATGAAAAGATAAATATAATGGAAGATTTGCCAATCAAATATAATGTGCCTACCTTTGCTTAAGGTCTTCAAGTTGTTCCTGAAGCATTTCTAGCTCTCGTGTTCTCTGTTCCCTGAGCTTAACTTCATTCTGATATTTCTGAATTGCTCTCCTTCTTTTTGCTTCGTTTTCTTTAATAAATTTTTCATATTGGGAGACCTTTTCTTTCATCTGCAAGGGAAAAAAAGAATATGAATGTACACAGGTAACATATGGACTGTAGAACAAGACACAATGTAAACTTGTTGAAAATGATACTTTTTGATTCTATGATAACAAGTTTGTTGGTGATCTTACTAACAGTAATTTATTTCTTTGTAAGCATCCTGGAAAGTAATGAAGGCTTACAAAACAAATAGCAAAAATATTGAGATTTTTTTGTTATCTTCTTTTTGTTGAATAGTACATGATTTGTGCTTTTGTGAAATATAGGAGGGGGTATAATAAAATTTCCAATACAGGAAATTATCAAATCTGTGAGTTCATTGGTCAGACATATTGAATTACCACTCCACTGAGTTGAGATGATTAAAAGCAAGCTCTGAATGAACCTTACCTGCTGTTGTTTCTTTTGCACTTTGATTTGTCTTTCTGAACATGCTTGCATTCGTTCTTTAAACTCAGCACGTTTTGACAGAAGTTCTAAATGAACCTTGTCCACTTCAACCTCTTTTTTGAGAAGCAAAGTCTTTTGAAGAGTATTAATGCCAGTCTCAATAAGTTTGTCTGCAGATTCTTTGACAATGGGATATGCAGTGACATCTTCCTCGTCATAATCCCTGAAAATGAATAAAAAAAAGACATTAATTTTTTTGCACGAAAAATATACCTGTTAAAATAAAGAAAATGAGATATGACTTCACATTAAAAACTTAATTATTGTCATATTATATAAAGGTTTCACCTAAAATGTATAGTTTAATGCTAAACTGAATATGATAAACTGAAGTCTGAACCACGAGTACTGGTAGAATTAATAATTGGCAGTTTCTGTTTGTTCACTGCAGTTTTCCTTAGGTTAAAAAGAGATTTCAGACTACAATTTCTTTTGAAAGACACGCTATCGATTTAAATACCCACTCTGCAAACTCATTAGGGCAGATTTTCAACAATAGTAATCGATATTCAAGAACTCATTCACTGTGATTCAACTTTTCTAACCAACTGAACTGAAGACATTAACAGATTTTCCTACCTGTCTTGGAGCTGAGTGACGAAAACATTTTTCTTCTGATCCCCTAAATCTAATTTAAAAGTTCCAGCAGCCATTTTGGTGTCTTATAACTCCATGTATAAATAAGGTGCCACAGATCGTGTAATCCTTCTACAATCCAATATGGTAGTAGGTCATAACAACTTTATTCAAATGAGCAAGCACCTTGGAGACTGTGTCATGTGACCAGTCATGTGCTCTTTTTACATCATACAAAGAATATTACACCGAGGAACATGAAGGTAGGTGTAAACAGTTATTAAGCAAAGTTTGGTTAATTTTAACGCTAATATTTAGATTTAACCATTTTGCATTTAACTTTATTTTTTTGACTTTGTATTAGACAACAGTGATGTGAGTTAAACAAATGTAAACAGAAAATAATTAAATGTTTGTTGCAGTATTCTAGACTTGTTTGTTACATCGCCTTGGCATCTGAACTCATATTTCTTTCCACATACTTGTTAGATATGTATCTAAAAGGTTAAAATGAGGATAAATCTTTTACTTAACATTAAAAAAGTAAATTTCTTTAATATAAAAAATGTCATCGGTGATTTGCGTTGATAAAAACTTTTTTATTTTCACTTAACTTTCATTAAAAAAGCCACCCATGTTGTCAGTTACATGTACAGTGTATCAATCCATACAGAATTTAAGTGTTATGAATTGTAATATGTGCTTTTTTTTATTTATTTTCTATTTTTTCTTCATTTTTTAGATTTAAAATATTGAAGATATTAATATTTGTTTATTCCTTTATTTCGAAAAAAATAAAGCATTTTAGTAACTTAGATGCATTTACCCTAGTGAGTTGGATCAACCTTAGTAAATGGTTATCAGTGCTAGGCCAAAGATCAGTTAATATCAAGATGTTCCCACTAAGAGATAAGCTATTGTTTAGGTGATAACAAACCAGTGCAATGGCCAAGAAATTGATATTACCAGTTAAATTAAACTTCTGAAATAATTAAGTAATCAGTGGAACTGTCACCTACTGAAATTACTTGATAATCCTTGTTGTTGATCGTTTGTTCTATGATGATTTTAAAAAGCCAATATAAGTAATGAAACAAGATAAATGATTACAGATCATGTTTTATCATTTTCAAGTGTGCCTTGTTATTTAAGTCTGTTACAGTTTTCCTAGCTGCAGTGCTTGTGCTGGAGGCAACTGCACTGCCGACAGTCCTGCGTTTTAGCCAAGAGAGAGCTGTACTCAAGCCTCAGTTGGTAAGGCTCCACCAAGTCCCTATAGTCAAGGACAAGGTGGGAGTGGACCTGTGCCCAACCTGTGTTGACTTTACAACACAAGCTATCAATGCCTTGTTGGAGATCATCTTAAGTATGTATTAGGGGTTCATAGATCAAAACAAGGTTCAAGTTAGGAATATTGTCACAGAGAACAATCACCGTTTTTTATAGTGTTTAATTTAAAAAAAAATGAAATGTGGTATTTGTATGTTTCAAAAAACCAAAAATTAAAGAGAACATTTTTGTCAAATTCAGCATTGTATTGGCATGTCTGAGATAATTTCACAATATCTTCACAAATGAACTGTGAAATTCATGTGGCTTATTTGGTTTATTAATTTCCATTAAAAAAAGAGACTGGATCCATTCAGGATAGGATCAGATAGAATGGGGCATGTTAAATACTATACATATATATATGTGTGTGTGTGCTAGTTTTGCCAGTACATTAATATTAGGTACCAAACCACAAACATGTGAATAGCCAGTCTTTGTTCTGTTATGTTACAGATGGAGGGGTACTGACCGCCTGCTCTGACCTCTGTGGTGCTTTGGCAAACAAGACTGGCAGCCAAGCAGTTGGTGCTATCTGCGATGTTCTTTGTAGTATAGTAGGAGTTGAAGAGTTCCTCCAACTTATACAAGAGTAATACATTTCCCTTATTTGTTTCAGTTAGATTAGCTTTTTCATTGATTAATCAAATCTGGCATTGAATAACACTGCATGGCAGCCATGTTCAAGTGTCGTACCTTCCTGCCTCTGTTTTCAAAATGAAATACAATTAATGTTGAAATTTCTTCAAGGTAAAAAAAAAAATCATTATTTTATTAAATTTTAGTGCAGATCTTGATCCCATTTACTTCTGTGAGTTGATCACTGTGTGTCCAGTCTTTGATTCAGGAGATGCCAATATCACAGCACTGACTGTCAAGCCTCCACAAGGCCCTCAAGGTAAAACATTGGCCTGACCTTTTCAGGTACCAGGGTTCAGTTTAATTCATTGTGTAATACCCTCCCTCCCACACACATTTTTAGAGAAAGTTTTGTTTTTTGGGGGGAAATTGCTTTCTTCCTAAAATGAAGAGAATCAAATTTAATATGTCATGTTGCATGTTTATTCATCCTGAGTTTTAGAGTCTACAAGGATGAGAGGGATAAATTTACCATCAGAGGAATAAAGTTCAAGATGATTAAATTTGAAAACATAATAGTGACAAAACTTTCACATTATGATTCAAGGTCCTCCAAATAAAAAAAATCTTACCTTGCATTTATTGGTACAAACCAACAGGTTTGATATTACAAAATATATAATGATAAGCTAACTACTATTGTATAAATGTTATAAATTTCCCTTGGTATAGGTACATCCTTTATTGTGGATATCGAATACACAAGCAAAAATGGTACCGGAACTGGAGAACTTGTTATAGAACTTGATACTGTTGATGGTATTCCAGTAGGTGAGTAGCATTCAGTCATGAAGAATTTATTCTAAAAATCATTTCATATGATTATGCTCTAATGAGTCACAGACGATTTTCAGAGTATGATGTCAAAACTAATGGTATATCTGCTTTTCATTGCCATTTTCCAAGGCTGAGAGATATCACAATGATTAAACTCAGGGCACTCATTTCACATAATGGACCCCCCCCCCAAAAAAAAAAAAAAAAAAAATTTTTTTTGAATATTCAGTATTGAGAGAAAAAAATAAAAATCACTTAAGATACTTTTAACATGTCATAAGTCCTCATGTAAATGGAAAAAAAATTCTTTTTATAGCTTCAGCCTTTCTCCAGCAAAAACAACCCCCAGGCACATATGGCAGTAAAATAACAATCCATGCAAAGCCAGACCCTGACTGCGACCCTACACAAGGGCCCTGTGAAATGTGGCTGCCTGGAACCTACATTGTCAAGATTGGTGAGCTAGTATAATATTGCTATCATAACATATATTATTATTATAATAAGTAAGTTCTATTCTGACAGGAATATATTCTTTTTGTTGATTGCTGCAAATAAAGTCCCCAGGTAGAAGAAGATTACAACATGGAAATTCCAGTGTTGAAGACTTAGACCAATTTCCATAGAATTAACTGAATTCCATTAAGTGACAGTAATTCTAATTAAAGTCATAATCATAATATCAATCTTTTAAATATTAAATGCCAGTGCATATTTTCAAATAATTTCATGTACAAACTAAGACAAAAGCAATGGTCAGTGATATCTATGGTTATCTCTGGTGATTTGATTTTCAGCACTTTGCAATGGTGAATGTGGCAGCTTGCATCCTCATAGTCAAATCTATGATACAGGATCAACCAACTTCACCATCACCGGCTAAAGGTTCTCTGCATCCAGATGCAAGAAGTCTTTGCTAGAAGATGCAAACTGCATATGAATTGTGTTCATCTGATGGAGACTAATGCACTTTTGACATTTAAAAAAGAAAAAAAATGTGCATGACATTCTTTAAAAGCACATATGTTATTAAACATAACAAAGAGTGAATCTATCCCAAAAATGCCAATCACAATAAATAAAAGTTGCATTATTTTCAGTTCATGGCATGATATTGCAAAACCAGGAATTTAGTACCACACCATAATATACCTTACTTAATGTTAAAAGATATTATGCATAAAATAATTACTGACTTAGTTCATGGTAAAATTTCCCTAATCACAACCTTTCCTTAATTACTGTATCTTGTACCTTAAGTACGTACTGTATCTTGTATGAGAATCAGAACAGTCACTTAACTTATTTTAAAACATTTCAAATGTGTAAGTCTGAATTTGTGACAGACAAATTATTTAGAGGTAATTCGGAATGTGGATGCAATGCTTTATCTTAAGCACTTCATACCTTCTACATCTTCTTACAACAATCTTACACATTACTTGAAACATTTCGGATGTACTTCACTGGAAATGTTTCTCTGACAGTGCATATCATAATTATGATGATTAAACCCATTTTATCAGCACCTTGCTCTGAAATAGTTATATTTTTTTTCAGCAAATGTTCTTTCCAATATGTCCAGAACTTCTCTCTGGTGCACTTGTCCAATGCCAACTGCAGGTGCTGCCAGCGGTCCACGACCCACATATGCCAGCTGATTGAAAAAGAAATAATAGCATTATTCAAGAGGAATATTGAAACATTAAATAAGAATCTAAATCTTGCAAGTAGCTACCCTATAAAATTTATTGACTGTATATGTATTTCTCTGATGTTCAATGAGTACTGTGATTCTCTAAACACAAGCTACTTGTTCAAATTTCACAATTTATACTGCACAAGTCATTTACATTATCCATTCTCAGTTCATTGTTTCATAAATCATTTGTTATTTTACAATTTCAGTTAAAAATACAATACAGCAGTCATCTTAAAACAGTTTATAGCCAGTTTCTGCACACTATTTAAGAAACAAAATAAGTTTTTCTTTTTACCTTGCAGCCAACAACTTTCTCAAATCTTGGGGCTATAAAGGACCAAGCTCCTGAATTTTGGTGTTCCTCCTGACTCCAAATGAATTCTAAAACATCCAGAGTGTACAGTTTGCATTTGATGAGAATTTGATTATCATAAATTAATATTATTATTCTGGAACTTCATGATTTGAGAATTGGCAAAAAGCAGTTGATTTTGCAGATTTTTAGGATATTATCTGCCATTTAAATCATATATGTAAAGCTTGTAATTTTAACCTACCTGTAGCACTTTTGTATTTGTTCAATTCTTGCTTAAGAGATTCTGCTGGGAATGGACAGAGACACTGTTGAAAAAAAAAAAATGGTTTTGAAATTTGTGAAATGCACATATAGCTTTTAATATTATAACTTTTGAAGTGCTCAAGATTTACCTTACACCTGCTCCCCAGTCAACAAAGTATATAAGACAAAATAAATTAAGAAATTAATGTACATGTAATTATAAGGCTGTGAACATATATGTACCCTGATAAATAATATATACCAATTTTCATAAACCAGACTTCATCTGAACCAACCTTTCATCTTCAAAAACTTTCCTTTCCTTATGGAAAATCAATTTAAAGTTCCATTATCTATTAGTATGAACCATGCATACCTCAAGTCTGATAAGTGCAGTATCTTTAGCTCCAACTGTTTCCCTCTGTTTATATAAGGCATAGTAGTGCTGCCCAGAACAGAACACTACCCTCTTGACAGCACTGCCATCTATTTCATTGTCTCCCAGTACTGGACAGAACGTCTTGCCTGGTGCCAGATCCAACATACTTGATGTAGCTGCAGGAAGCCGCAATATCATCTTAGGAGAGGCCACAATAAGGGGTTTTCTGAAATTCCGCACCATCTACAAGGCAAACCGACAGACAATATTCAAATCACTTTTAGATATGATAATAATTAAATCCTTAAAAGTACATTAATTAATATATTATAATAATTAGCAAATAATAGTGCCTAAAAAGAGACTGACAGCAGAGCATTATGTCATACAAGATAAGAAAAAAGTGCAAGGATCCTCAGGAAGTGGGGTTAACTTATTTAAAACCTTCAAAGCTGTAAGGGTATGTCATCTTGTCATTTCATAGCAATTTTTTGCTCTGATCATGTCTTAATGGCTAAAATTTTAATTGAAAAATACACAAAGTAAATTATATTATAAAATGAAAGAATCTAAACTGATCTTAAAGGAACCTACCTGCCTCCTGAGGAGATGAAAATACTGGGCAGGTGTGGTGGGATTTACAATATGCCAGTTGACATCATCCCCATCAAAGCAATCCTCCTTGCTATCACATTGCTGATCAAAATATGAAGATTTTGGTTTGTCATTTGTATTTTAACCCTTCAAAGTAACTGGAGGAGAGGGGGTTATGTCAAAAATAATGGATGTCTTCTGCACCTTTAAGAAACTTTCCTTTGAGGTAGCCAAACTGTGCAAACTCAAAATTAAAGAAAGAGGAGAAGAAAAAAGAAACAAAAGAAAGAAAAACATTTATCATGAAATCTCTTTTAAGCCAGTTTGCCGACAGCTTTCACAAACTTAATTTAACCCACCATATATATAATAAAAATGATTCCAAATATTTGGCTCTCTACATAGATGTTAAGGTACAAACCAGTAAGAATCTTTCAATTCTACATGAAGAGTGCTCAGGGCCCTCACCATCCATACCATGGGGTAGCAACATCACCAAGCCACTCTGTAGGAGCCATTTGGCTGATATGAAATAAAATAAAAAAAAGTTTCAAGTCTGTAATAATAAAAGTTATTTTATAAACATTTGATTGGAATGGACCAGGCATGTTAATGCAATTCCTGAAAAAAGGACTTAAACTAACTCTTTAAGAAATTAAATATTTGGAATCTATCCAAATGTATTAACCTTCAATTTGTGAGCACATACTTACTTTCACCAGAGGCAATGTATGTATCAATTATAACTTGAGCTCCATTGAAGAAATCTCCAAACTGTGCCTCCCAAATGACTAAAGATGTAGGATTTTCTGTACTCATTCCATATTCAAAGCCAAGAGCTGCAAGTTCTGTAAGAGCACTGTTGCAGACCTGTGAGCAAAACAACCATTTTCATTCTTGTAAAGTTTATATTTTAAGATGGATTATTTAGCAGTGTTTAAGAATGTTTGTAAAATTATCAATATGACAAAAATGGTCAATATATTGTCAAAATTTAAATTAAGTATAATTTTTATAAAATTATTCAAAATAATATTAAAATTATTATATAAATCAACTGAAAATTTGCTTCAGTCTGTACCTTATCAAATTTAAAGTCTACAGTATTTCAAACCTCTAGAAACCCCTTTTGATGATCCGTCATGTGGTTCAGAGGAATAACAATCCCATCGTGTGATTGGTCAACCAGCATCATGTGACGATGGCTGAAAGTGCCCCTCCCAACATCCTGCCCACAAAATCTCACATTGTTACCTGTTAAACAAATCATTATTTGGTAAAATTACATTCAAGGAGAAATAATTTTAAAAAGACAAAGGTATTTTGTAGCTGTTTTTTTTTTTGTTTGTTTCTCTTTTTTTCAGAGCATTCACAACAAAATATTTATCAGAAGCTTCCAGACATCTTAATCTATTTTCCTAAGCAAACTATCATATTACTGTACTATGATCATATATATCATATAATATCAATTTAAATGCTGAAACAACTGTAAATATTCCACATTCTCCATCAAGTAGCCTTCACTTTAGATTAGTACACAATGAGAATGTGAAATACTGCTTGTACTTTCTACTTACCTTGCCAAAGTAAAGAGCCTATGGCCAAGGCTTCAGCAGTTGCCCAGTCCAAATTAGACCCATCCTCTAACTGCTGAACACGCTTGTCAATGTGATGCTTAGAAAGCGTATTATGAACTGCCTGTAAAAATCAAATGCTCCTTTGCAAAATTTTAGATCTTGCCCCAGGTGTTACCACTACAGCCTAACATTAAATACAGGTAGGGAAATGAGCAGAATTTTAAAATCTCTAATTATAACAAAAATATTAGAATTCAAAATCACAAATATTACCTTCTATTAATATATGGAAAACAAGATGTTATTCTTGAACAGAATTATTCTCTAGTAAGTGGTTAGTGTAAAACCACTACATTATCATGGGGTGTAGCAATGAAACCTCACCACATCATCCTGTACTGCCACAGACTTAGCACCAATATACTTCAGGAGATCAGTGGGCACCCCAGTGTCCCATGTTGTTTGACTGGCAGGTGCTTGGACATAACCTGACCAGTTCTTCTCCAAGTGATATGCCTAAAGAGAGAGCAAACAAAACTTACAAAGAATGTCAGCTTCCTTCCAATACCTCTCTCTCTCTCTTTCTCTGAAATTAGTTTAGATGTTGTAAACCGTTAACAATTTGCAAAATATGTTCAGAATCAAACTTCATTAAGATGCTCTATTTATCATGGAAAAAGTGACACTATACACCCTTGCCTTGGGAATGTGAGTATCAATATTGGTCATTTCATCATTGAGTTCTTTATTCCAACTGGCTACTGCTAAGTCCAACTCCTCCTTAGAACAAAGACCTGCTTCCTGAAAGAGTTTCAATGCAAGATAAAATAAAGGCACTGAAAATTGATTAGACCTATTTTAAATGAAATGACTATTACATGCCCTCTGATGGTACACGTACCCTCTATCATCTTAAAATGAACATTTTGCTAATATATCAGAAGCATGACAAAATGCTTTTAGACTCTTCAATATGGGTAAATACTCAATACAAAAACAGATTTCAGGGCAAAAAAAATTAAAAAGTCCAATTAAACTGCATAAGCTTATATATTATGATTTTAGTCACTTCCTAATATTTAAATTTACTTACTACAATATTTGTTGCATAGAGATCTGGTACGTTAGCTCTGTTCTTGATGATTTCATACATAAGTGGCTGGGTAAAAGACGGGTCGTCTAACTCATTATGCCCCCATTTTCTATAACAGATGAGGTCTATCACAATGTCTTTTCTAAATTTCTGTCTGTATTCCATGGCAAGCTGGGTAGCTCTAATTACTTCCTAAAATGGAAATTACAAATAGACAGCAATGCTGACAGATAAACAGTTCAAAGTTTAAACATATATATCTATTTGTGTCTGTTCATAACATGGGTTAATAAAATCTGTTTGCAAAAGGGTGACACAATAATGGTTATCAAAAGCTTGATTTTTAGAAGAATGTCTTTATATGTAAATTTACATTTATGTGAAATAGAAATATTCTCAATTACCTATATTTTTATGTTCTTCACATATCTAATGTATGTGCTAATAAAATTATCCTAAAATAGGTGTGGAATAAAAACATTGTACACATGTCAGCATTTTCATCAAAATAGTATTTCTTTATGGCTATACCTCAGGGTAATCTCCATTTACATGTATCACTGGACAAGCATTCATTTTTGCCACATCACTGCAATACAGAGATGATCTGAAACAAAATAGAGAGCAGAGATTGTACAATTTTCCTCATTCAATTTAGAAACAAAATACCCTTGATATTATTGATATATACTAAAATCATTCTGAACCATACCTTCCCCTCTCAGATGGTGTAGTGAATCCCAGCTGGTTGTTGATTATGAGGTGCACACTTCCTCCCACAGTGAAATGTGGAGTGTTGGCAATCGCAAAGGTTTCTGCAACCACACCCTGAAATATGAATTTCAACATCAGTCAGGCTTTGTAGGTACATACTTCTGTTTTCCCTTCCAAAAAGCAAATTGTCAAATACTTCGTTTTCCCATTGTAAATCAACAAAACCACAATGCTTACTTATTTTCAAATATAAATCTGAGAATGAGAATAAAAACCAAACATGTCATTAGTCTGTATATAAATAGTGCAAGGAAATCTGCCTCATTATAATAAATATATTTTTCAAAATGTATATATATATATATAGAATAAAAAATGCCACACCTGTGCAGAGAATGATGCATCTCCATGGACTTGTAGACACAGCACCTTATCCCCCATCACAGCAGCTGGGTCATCAGAGTAATCTCCATCTTTAAGTGTCTGTTGTCTTCCTCTGGCTTTACCAACAGCTACTGGCTTGCTGGCCTATGCAAACATGACCATACTTTTAATAAATCATATTGCTTACAGCTATTGCAACATGACCCTTTCTTCCCCATGTCAAAATTTGAACCAATAATGTGTCATCCTCCATAGTCAACTTGCCACAATAAATCATGCTATTTATTAAGATCGATATTCCACAGAAGCTAACCAGGCAGCAGCTCAACTTATAAGCTAAATTACTGTTTGTAGACAACTAATCTACTGACCTCCAGATGAGATGGATTTGGAATCATTGTGACACAGATCTTCTTTTGACCATAATTTAAATCTACTGAAGAAGCTGGAATATTTTTCAAAAAAGTAGCATTTAGTCCATGAAGATTTAAGAGTTAAATGCATGCTTATTATTGTAATGATTTTTAGTACTTATCAATGCTGTTTTTTCATAAAATCTCCATTTGCTGGACACTAACTAGCTAAATTACATAAATATTTGTTATTTTCAATAAACCTGAATATTAAAAAATCTCAAATTTATATTATCAAATTTTGGTTTAATAGTCTTAAGGTTATTGTAACCCTTTATTATCATCCAGATACCAAAAATTAGTTTTTCCTGCATCTAATTATTCAATAATGCAGCTATCTTTGTGCTGCTTTAAAAAAATGAAAAAAACTCCCAAAAATAAAAAATATTGGCATTTAAATTTTTTTATTGCATATACATAAGCATAGGCAACTTAAAGCTTTAATCGTCAATTTAACACCTTTCTATTCTGAAATGAGCAAGCAATCGGCATGGGGTGTAACATCATCACTGAACAAGATTTTATCACAAAAATCGGCAGAATTGACCAGGAGAGTATAAGCTACAATCCTGTGCCATCATTTTGGTGCAAATTCTTTTGTTATGGAGTTATGATCCCCTAATTACAGATTTTCATTAAACAAAGGCATTATTTTGCTTTATCAACAATAAAATCTGAACTATGACTTTTAAGATAAATCCATGGCAGGGTTTTTAGAGTACTAAATGGTGTCATTAGATTGATGTTGAAATGGTGATTGTGGGTGCTCAGGTAAAAGAAAAATCAGAGTTTTAGTTTTATTAGTTTTTACCCCAAAATCGCAATTGTGACATCACCCGAAAGATGACATATGTGTAAATTTAATCAATTTAGTCACTGATCACTGAACATTTATTTATAACCCAAAAGAATGTATGTAAGGCATGCGCAGTAAATAAGGAGTTTTTGGCAAAGGGTGACAATATCCTTAAGAGCATAAGCAAGAATAACTTTTCACCCTGCTCTGTTTCACTTACATGTACTTAGATTATGTAATACTTCCCCACTGCCTTTCACACCAGGAGGAAATTCACTGATACCTTTCATCTACAAAAGAAAGTCAGCAAAGCCAGTATAAGAGTTGCCAAGACAGTAAAGTTCAGCCAAATGATTGTCATATCTATTTTTTATTCATTATGCAAGAGTCCAAAGTTTACTTCTTTCACAGATCGTAATCACTACTACCTTGGATCCATAATAAAATAAAATGAATCAAAGTTATTACAACTACATTCTAAAGAGCAGAATATTTCATAAGAAAAAATACCTTCTGAAACATCTGCACTGGTGGAAATTTGAGCATGCATGTCAGCAAGTTGAGTCTTCCTCTGTGAGGCATAGAAATTATAACATCCTGAATATTAACTGTAAAGCAAAAAGTAAGACTGGCATTTGTGGGATATATATATATATATATATATATATATATATATATATATATATATATATCCCACAAATGCCAGTCTTACTTTTTGTGGGGTATATATATATATATATTGAAAATCAGTTTATGTAAATACAGTGAACCACCAGGTGAACTTCAGCATGAGTGTACATCTCTAAAACTTGCACTAAACTACATGTAATACAGCAATTACCAATTTTCAAGGTTTTTATTTTTCAACATCAAATATTAAAGTCATAATAACTCTTCGTTTTGGCCAAAAATTGGATTTTCCTGGAAAAAACGGCAATTTTCCCGTACTTACCAATGGCCAACGACCCCATTCCTGCATTCAAAGTTAATCCAGGGTTTTTTTCCTAAACGTACGGTTTTTTGTTAAAATCTCTTAAGAGATTTTAACTGACGGAGCTCTCTCTGACATTGCAAAGTCACTGGTGACCTACTTAAAACCGCGGGAAAAGCAGACAACAACAACACTATATAAGATTCATGAGATATATTCGTCTTTTTGTTAAAAATGCATTTATATCCGCAATGTGTGCCATTCTGGGCTTTTCGTTATCCGACGCACTGTACAAAAACTCGCAACTTACGTCTGCGTCTGCACTAATGCGTTTGGCGCCATGTTATTTTGGTCTCGAATGAACGCGAGAATCCGCGTGACACCATTACGTCATTAGCAACGAATGCACTTGTCGACCGGAAAAAAGGCATCGTAAGCCCTATTGACAAGCACAGATTTTAGTTTTCCTACAATAACGGCCGTTTTAGTGGTAAAATACAATAGAATATATTTCCATGCGTTTTTTACAATGTATTTCATGCGGATTTTTGAATCTCAAAGGAAGAGTTATTATTGCTTTAAT